TTTTTTCCTGAATGTAAAGAGCGTTAAATTAATTAATTAATGAACTAAACAAAGAAACAATCTTTTTAGAGCTAATTCTTAATAAACTGTATGTAAAATTTACGGCCAAATGATCCACATTTTATTTATTTTTGTGTGATATATCCAAAGAGGGTCATTTGTGTTTTCACACCATGCATTGAATTTCAATCTGATTAAAGGGTAATAAAACTTAAATTGATCGATCTATACTTCTGTTACGTAATATGTTAAGTAATTTATGTCATGTGATAACAATGTTTTCACACGTTTTGGGGGGCCAATCAGATATGTCATTGATTCATTTTGCAATCCAATCAATTTATTAGCCGAATGGTGATTCCTTTATTCATTGGTAATTGAAAATAAGTACTGCATAACCCAAACTCAGCCCAATTTTATTGCTTATATATATTAGATATATGGTCACGTGGTATAGTGGTGCAACATGAATTCAAATGGGGAAGTATAAACTGGATTTAGAATGTTTTAAACGATTTTTTGGACTTAAAAATTGGACAGTGAGGTAGTGTAGTATCCTTTTATTTTATGTCAGGCCAAAATTTGAACAAAATAAGAAAAAGAAAAGAAAAGCTATATCTCCATTATCTACAGAAACTCAATACACGTGTAATGTACCGCGTCTAAATCAGTCAGGTGAAGCACAGGTAAACACGTCAGGTGGACAGTTGGACAATAAACGTGTATTCAACTTTGGAATAGATTTGTTTACACCAAATACACAGCTGATAAACATGACTTCGCCAGTAAGTAACTTCTCGATGTTTCTACTGTTCGTTTATGATATATTACAAAATATTGATACTAATTTAGAAGGAATATTTACAATAAATGAACTTAAGTTTTTCCTCTTGATGTTCGCTGATGACGCGGCATTATTTGCGCACTCACCCGAAACACTGCAGTCTATGCTAAATGACCTTAACCGGTACTGTCGTACGTGGGGACTAACAATCAATACGAACAAAACCAAAGTTATGGTATTTGAGCGTGGTCGACATACTCAGTGTAATATATTTCTTAATAATACACAGCTAGAAGTAGTCCCATCATTTAAGTATTTAGGAACGCATCTCTTCAAAAATGGATCGTGGTATAGAACACAAATTAGAATATCAAAACATTCATCATTTGCGCTCCATAACCTATTTATAGTTTTTAATCAAATTGAATTACCTTTGAAAGAAAAATTTCGTCTGTTCGACAGTTTAGTAGGTTCTATATTAAATTATAATGCATCAGTCTGGGGGTATCATGATGGCAACCACATTGAACAAATACATTGTAAATTCCTTCGAAAATTGTTATGTGTAAAACGATCGACAAATCTATACGGCTTGTTTGTATGGTGAACTTGGGCGATATCCCATGAAAACAGCACGGCAATTGATAATTATCAAATATTGGATACAAGTTTTGAAATCAAACAACCCATTAATTATAAATATATACGAAATGTTGAAAAACGACGCAAACAATGGTAACTCATACAACGGTCTTAATTGGGCACATCATATTAAAATTTTGCTTGAAAAAATAGGATTAGGAAATTTGTGGCTTTCTCAGAATTCCAATGATATCAGTTATGTTATTATTAAGCAGCGAATATTAGATATCTTTAAGCAATCGTGGTATACTACAATTAACAATTCTAATAGGTTATCGCACTATTGTTTATTCAAACACGAATTTGAAACAGAGAAGTACCTGCAGTTAAACATGGACACTAAATATAAAACTACAATTACAAAGTTTAGATTATATACAAATAATCTAGCCATTGAAACTGGACGATATAACAATACTGACCGACAACAACGATACTGTGCTCAATGTAATATGAATATGATTGAAGATCCTTATCATTTTTTACTTGTTTGTCCTAAATACAAACAGTTACGAATCAAAACTTTCACCCCGTATTTTTGCAGATGGCCATCTATTCAAAAGTTCACTACTTTAATGTCAACAGATTCTATAAGATCAATTTACAAATTAGGTCGATTTTTATATTTGGCTTTCAGAGAAAGACAATGATACCATTAAGAAACTAGACTTAAAAATGTTTGTTAAATCTAAATTGTTAAACTTTTGTTCTTCTGGTAAAGTTTGTATGCACCACTATACATGTTTATATTTGTATGGCTATAAATATTGTTTGTATTTAATGCCAATAAAATATTCTGTTCTGTTCTTAATGATTATGTTACGGTCAAAGAAATTTTAGGTAATCATTCAATCAAAACCATAATTTTTCATATGTTTATTCATTAAAGTTATTCTTTGCTGATTCTATTTGTAAAATATTTTTTTGATTTAAGTGGTCAGCATTTGCTCGCCTGAATGAAGGTTAAATTTGCTGATCATTTAGAAAAAGAAGAGTTTTACGGCTTTCATCAATTTGAATTAATATTAAATTGATCAGCATTTTTTTTTTTTGTCGTTGACATGACTAAATACAATATATTAACTTTGCAGACAACATAAAATGAATAATAATTTCACGGCAAAATATCATTTTTCTCTATATATCTTAATAGTCAGCCTATCTCGCTTGCATGTAAAGAGCGTTAAACTTGCCGAACATATAAAATAAGAAGTTTTACGGCCTTAAATAAAATTGAATTAATATCTAGCTGATCAGCAGTTTTTCACAAATTTATGTGGTCGGCATGATTTTATAAAATATGTTTTCCTGAATGTAAAGAGCGTTAAATTAATTAATTAATGAACTAAACAAAGAAACAATCTTTTTAGAGCTAATTCTTAATAAACTGTATGTAAAATTTACGGCTAAATGATCCACATTTTATTTATTTTTTGTGTGACATATCCAAAGATGGTCATTTGTGTTTTTCACACCATGCAATTCGATCTCAATCTGATTAAAGGGTAATAAAACTTAATTGATGGAATGTTTTCACAAGATTTTGGGGTGTGAACATACATTTGGGGCCAATCAGATATATGTTATTGATTCATTTTTTATTCCAATCATTTTATTAGCCGAATGAGAATTCCTTTATTCATTGGTAATTGAAAATAAGAACTGCATAAGCCAAACCCCGCCCAATTTTACAGCTAAATGATTATGGCACTGTCTAAGAAATTTAAAGTAATCATCCAATGAATGAATGAATGAATGAATGAATAGATGAATGTATGAATGAATGAAACAATGAGTGAGCGAGTGAATGAATGAATGAATGAAAAAATGAATGAATGAAAAAATGAATGAATGAAAAAATGAATGAAAAAATGTGTGCACTCACTCACTCACCAACTCACTCACTCACTCACTCACCAACTCACTCACTCACTCACTCACTTCATATATTTTCCGGAATATGATATTCTTTTATATGTAAGATCACCATATTATGACTACATTTTCTAAATTTTATCCAATATATATCACATAGAAGACATTTCATTAACATATACTGAAATAAGATAATTTAACAATAGAAATTGAGAAATATATCAATTATTATTTATATATCAATATTTATTATTTGTAATAGTGTGATCTTGAAAATACGTCTTATCAAACATCTCTCGACGTCGCCTAGAATAACACTAATAGCTAGTTGACACCTAATTGACATCTTCAATGTTTTTCCTTCTTTATCTAACTTGTCAGCAGTTTTCGATAACGCTTCTTTATTTAAACTAGTTAGCAGTTTCTTATATAAATTATCATATATATCATCATTCGTCAGCAGTTTAGTATTACATCAAATCGGCCCGTGCAAAAATCGGCTCTAACACGTTTCGGCCCATATTTTGTCTTTATTTAGTCCGGGAAGTACATAAAACTACCTTAAATATTAATATATATTACCTTCCAATTAGATTAATTTCCGTTCCTTTTAAATTGGAATTAATTCCAATAGGATTTATTTCCAATAAAAAGTATTGGAAAAAACTCCAACTGGAATAATGTCCAGTTGGGTTTTATTCCAATCGGATTTTTTTCCAGTTAAATTTAATGGAAAAAAATCCGATCGTATTTTCCGAAAAAATGCTTAAATAGACGTTATTTCAACAAGAAAATGCATACAAGTACATATTAAGCATGTGTTTATGTATTTCGAAAATTTCATAAAAATTGAAATTCCCGTTGGAATAAATAATAATGTTGGAATAAATTCCAATTGGAATTTAAATAATTCCGCCCGGACAGCATAATTCCGATCGGAATACATGAAATTCCGCCCGGAATTTCTTTTTAAAATACAATTTTTGATAAGAAAAAAATGAAAAAATAGCTTTAAATGAAGTCAATTATTAATAATTAACATTAAATCTATCGGATGAAATGATTTTTGAGTGTTTAGGGCAAGTATAAATGGTAGTGAAGTTTGCCACTATCCCGGTGGTGCAAAGATTTTCCGGTGGGTGTTACATTATGAATAGCACTTACAAACCACGTTAATTACCAAAACGAGGTCAAAATATGCATATATTGCCTTTACTGCGTTAGTAACGCAGTAGAAATATATAGTTGTAAATACTAAAAAATCAGTCATTAAACGCACATAATATGTAAAATATTACTGGAATCTTGAAACTTTTTATTTTTCCTTACATCTTAGTACATTTTTATCAAGTTTGATTTTATTGAAATATTTTGACTTATCTAGAAGCATGTAGCTTTAATATATATATATAAAATATAAAATATATATGAAATGTTATCTTTCAGCACCAAACGTAGCATTCAGCGTATCCCATTTGACAGACACCGGTCCTTCTCCTGGTGAAATAATGAAATATAAAACAGTTTTGTTAAATGCAGGGAATGGATATAATCCGTCAACTGGAATATTCACTGCTCCTGTTGGTGGTACATACTCATTCAATGTTCAAATGTGTTTACATCCGGGCACTTATTCGTACTATGTTATAAAAGTTGGAAGTAAAACAGTGTCAGCCCAATATGGATACGATGCAAGCTACTACGATTGTTTTCCAAGTCATGCACTGGCTGTTGTTCAAAAGAATGAACAAGTCACTGTTCAATGGACAACCTCTAGTTATTCTTCAGGTCGTATCTATGAATACAATAGTTATACAAATTCCTTCTCTGGTGTTTTGCTACGTACACTATGATTGAATATAACAAGTATTAACGTTTAGAAGATACTTTCAAATTCATTTCCGTCTCTTAATTATAGAAATCAGAAAACTCTTCTCAAGTTATGCTTCATTAGTATATAATGACCCATATACTTTTTAAGTCAGATGTTTCATCTCAGATAAATTCTAGAAAAACATATTGAATACTATAGAAATCAATTTAAAGAAGGTAACTGTTATTTTAATTCAATTACCTAAAATGTATGTTCAGTTTGAATGTTTAAATATTTCACTGATTGAATCATGTTGAAATATCGACAATATCTGCATGTTATAACTATAACTAAATGTTGATATGTAATAAAAAAATTTGAAAAAAATACAGAGTTTTTTATCGCATTTTACGTCAGTTTTAGTTACTTTTACTTTTTAATAACTGGTACACATCAATAGTTAGGTAACACTTGTTTTAACTACTTTTCTATTTTATATTAACGAACACTATTAAGGCATTGGACTGGACATTAAGATACTTCGAAGCGTCAGCAGCGTAAAGCCAAACCTCAAAGACTTTTTTCATCAAGTTCCCTGGAATGTACTGTTGGAATGTGATTTGAATATTCATAAAATAAATGTTTTACAAATAATTACTGAAAATACCTGACTATTATATTGGTTTTGGATCGAACCAATAATAATTATTTGAAAACATCAGTATTAGGATACATTTGATCACATCTTGAAATATTGGCCGAGTTCGGTTACTAAAATAAACTGATTTTACAATGTCAAGATTAGCCAACATTTTAGCCACTGCCTGGCTTCTGTACCGCGAGCAGATTTTTTTTTTGTAAAATTTCATAGAGAAATCATTAACGTAAATGGCATGCGACTCGGTGAAAACACAGGTGGTAGTATCAGTGTTCGGCCACCCCACCCCATCCCACCTAACAATCCGGATGTAGTGCTGGTGGTGTTTTGTTTTAAGGAGAACTTCTCATTCAAGAGGGAAACTAGTATACTTTTGATGAATTGTGTGCAATATTTAAAATGAGATGTAGAATATAGGAGTATCATAACAGCAGTAGAATTATTTTTACTTAAACTACATTAACAAGAATTAGCAAAATAACAAAAACATAATATACCTATCCTACAATCTGTATTAACAATTATTATCAAAGATATGGAAGGATGTCGCTGTATCTATAAGGTCATGCACTGATCAGAACAATACCAAAATTCTTTACAAAATATATATGAGTGAAATCTGAGAAAAATGATCTATGATGTCTGTACCTGTAATTGCTCCTACGAGTTTAAACAATTTTGGTTGAAAATCTAGGTCAAAGCCAAAAATAGCAAAATCTTTTTAACACTCTAGGGGCTACTGTTCAATCCAAATATTCTGGACATTGGTCAGAAAGGTTGTTTACTAGCACTCAAGTTCGAGTATGAGTCACCTTGGGTCAAAAACTAGGTCACATAGACCAAATATGGAGAAAACTTGTTAACGCCCAAGATGTTACACTTTCATGGGTCGTCTTTGATGGAAAAATAGCCCACATATGAAAAACTATTGTTAACACACTTGAGGTAACATTTTCAGCCCAAGTATCCTAGAAATTTGTCAGAAAGGTCGGTTTGGTGATTTCTTGTCCATTTCAAATATGGATCATATTTGGTCAAAAACTACAAATCCCATGTATTAGAATTCCTTAACACACTAGAGGTTACATTTACATCAAAATATCCTATGGTTGTTTTGTAAATTTCTAGTTCTAGATTGGTATGGTTTGTCGAGGGTTAAAAAGCCCGATAAAGGAAAATCCTTTTAAACTCTCTAGAGGTAATATTTTCTGTTCAATATAATTGAAATTTGTTGGTAGGGTTGTTTATGTAGATTATATCTAACAATGCTTGAATAATGAAAATGATAAAGGACTTATGAATTTTCAGAATTGATTTTATTATAGATTTGGTTATATCAATGAATTATTAAGGTTTTGAAAATCAATGTAGAGATACAACACAGCAGAATGATATTAGCTGCTTTACTTGTTATAGCGTCTGTAAGCGAACAGCATGGATCCTGATCAGACTGCGCGGATGCGCAGGCTGGTCTGGATCCATGCTGGTCGCAAACCCATTATGTTGGTTTTGTCGTGATGCGGCTCATTTATTTTTACATCAAAGTGCTGTACGTTAATACATAGATCTGAAACATGGATAGCTACACATAAGGAATGTACTTTAATTTAGAAATTAAATATGGAAAAACAGAATCCCTAAAATTTGAAAATATTGCAGGCACTGTTCGATTGAGCAAGTTCATGAACGGCACTGAAAAGTACAAGTTACCGTCCACGCCCCTAGCACCGGCTTAAGCAGAATTCAACATTTAATCTCTGTAATGATGAAATTTGGAATTTATAAACATCCACAAATGTCACAATATATATCCAGTAACGCAGGAATGTGCAAATAACGCAGGAATTGTGCAAAAGTAACGCAGAATTGTGCAATTTAGTGGTTAAAACGAGCACCGCGATAAGTAAATGGACCAATATTTTTTATTGTACACCAGTTAGCGCATACGGTTGCTGAGACATTATACTTCAAACTCATCAAAATATTTTCATAATAATGTTTATTTTCAATATTATTCGTGAAAATGACAACCTGACTAGCGTATTGATGGCGATTTTTAGTTTCGTTGATTTCTTTGAATACAATAACGTACAAATTACTCTATGATTTATTATATTCGGTGTACCTGAGACATTTCCCAATCTTCTCGTGTCATTTTTAGCAGTTAAAACGTAATTGAGACGAGGTAACGCCGAATTCGTGAATAAAGCACTGAAGCAACGGCGGTTATCTCATTAAAAGTAGCTAAATCCTATTTAACCAGCTTTCATCTATTGTTATACGACATTTGTAGTATACAGAATATGGAAAAAAGTTTTAATTGTGTTAAATGTGCATATTTATTTGACGAAACACAAAAGGCACATTCAAAACGGTAATCAGGTTGTCTTCTCAGGAATGATCTATGAAAGTAAACAAATTCCTGAAAAAAAGGAATAAATGGTAAAAGTATAATGTCGTAGCAGCCGTATGTGCTAATTCATTTCTTTAAATTTGATTCAGAATAAAATATTGTACTTCGTTTTCTTACTGTGTTATTCGTTTTGGCAATAGCGTTGCACAGATTCGGCGTTACTTTTACCATAATTGTACATTCCTGAATATGCACGGTGGATGCACGGGGGTAATCATGGAACCTTCCATGTGACACTTTAGTGCTATTCAATGAGTAGCGGCGTACGGTGCCCAATTAAAAAATTTTCATGTGCCCTTAACGAGAAAACATTGGGCGGAACTAAATAAAATGGAAATTATAAAGGGGATCTGAGGTTATTGAGCTTGCATATCACAGACAGGACATTAAAAGACAAATTTAAAAAGCAGGCAACATATTCTAAGATTGATTATACAGTATTCAAGTAGAAATACCCGAATCCACCCCACCCCCCAGATGAAAAAATAAGATAGAAGATACCCAAAAATACCTACAACAACAGTAATGTCGTAATGTTTAATTCTATGTTCGTATAGACTACAAGCCTGCATAGTGATTATGTCTTTCATTTTAATAAAAAATAACACTGAAGACTTCTTATTTCTGTTTCAATAGTTCATACTGTACTCAATAAACAGATGATTTCTCTATTGCTCTTCAGTTTCGCAAATAAAAAATAGTCCAGCAATTTGCCTGGCAATACACAGCATTAGTATGTAGGAACATCACCTTTTCCTTGTCCTATCATTAACTTGAGTAGAAATAAGCCTTAGTAGGGACATTTACCGTAGGCTGAAAAGGAAATAACAAATATTTGGTGCTCTATAATAAATCAAAGCGCAGAAGGCGCTGAATTTGTTTGGGTCTCAGAATGTAAGAAAGGTACGGGTTGTGAGATTATATGTATAGTGCCACCAATGCTTTCCAGCGTTTTAATTGTAGTAAATTGGCTATAAGACTAATTGCAACACTGATATTCAATCCAATTATTATTTGACTTAAACAATTTGAAAAAAATGAGTTGCCTATACTGGGATTTGAACTCCAGACCTCTCGCTTCCTAAGCGAGCGCGAAAACCCTTCAGCCACGGAGAATTTATATGTGAACGGCCTGAAGAAAACCGTATTATTCTAAATTAGGGCTTGTAACGACTTTAACTGTTGTTTAACACAGATGTAAATAATCCTGGAGCTTAATATAAGCATGTATATTATAAAGAATCAAAGGGCTGCAAGTTCTGTGGTATTTTCTGATCTTTGCAATCTAATTCGTACTGTATATCTGTATGTATTTTCCTGTATAAGTTTATTTTTATGTATTATAATTCATTTTGCAAGGCACCAGAGTTTGATACATACGGAATTCTGCATAACTAGAGTTGCATCAAAATATCATTTATGTTCATTTTTTACGACAGCTACACTTTATCCTTGCATATCATGGCTACTTCCTTAACAAAGACACTTAAAAAAAGTTTCCTCGACTGGGATTTGAACTCCAGACCTCTCACTCACTAATGCAGGCGTCACACTGTCCCGAATTTGGCATCAGATGAACACGAATAAGGAAATGTTCAAATTCGGATCTGATCGTAATAACATCGTGCCATTCGTGAGGGCATCTTTTGCCATCGTATGATCCCCGGCTGAATATATCAAGCTCCAGCAGCAACTTCGTGAGCGGTTCCAAAATCTTTGGCATGCCAAAAAATTGCCCGAAGACATTGCGAAGGTTCATTTTCGTGTTGAATTCGTATGTCAATTTTACCCTTCGTAAGGCCGTCGTGAAGCCATCTTGTCAAGTCGTGTAGTCTTCGTCTTTTCTTCGTGTGATCATCGGTGCAATCTGACATTTTAAGCCTCAAGAAGACAATACGAAGTAAACACGAAGATTCCCGATAGTCTTAAAAGGGGAACACGACTACGTTAAGCCCCCGCAATACCGTCG